CTGCTGCCCAGGGCGGGCCCGGCCCGGCTTGTTGATAATGTGAATATTCACATTGTCAATGGGTCGAACCGGGCCCGCCCTGGGCCGCCCATGGGCCGCGGGCAGGTTTCGCGCCGCCATGGGCTGCTGTCCAGTTTTACACTCCTATCAATGTTAATGTTAACATGTCAATGTGAATATTCACATTGTCAATGGGCCGGACCGGGGCCGCCCCGGGCCGCGGGCGAGTTTCGCGTCGTCACGGGACGGGGGCCAATTTTACACTCCTATTAATGTGAATGTTAACATGTCAATGTGAATATTCACATTGTCGACGGGCCAGACCGGGACCGCCCCGAGCCAGCCATGGGTTGCGGGCGGGTTTCGCGCCGCCACGGGGCAGGGGTCAATTTTACACTTCTATTAATGTGAATGTTAATATGTCAATGTGAATATTAACATTGTCAACGGGTCGGGCCCGCCCCAGCTCGCGGCCGGGTTTCGGGCCGCCCACGGGCCAATTTTACATTCCTACCAATGTGAATTTTAAAATATGAATGTTCACATCATTAAATTGCTAATCGTTCAAAAAATATTTATAAAGGTATCAAAATTAAATATAAGGGCATAAGTGTCCAAGAAAATAGTGTAAATCAAGAAAATGGACTTTATGGAATAAAACTATACATACATGGGACTAAATGGGTTAAAAGATTCTTTCATGAACTTCTTGGGTTAAAACACTTCTAAATTGGACTTATCAATAAAAATCTCTTCTTTAATTGTCCCCGAATTAAATAGGCTTCGTATGGCTAAGAGCATCCGCATCCGTCTCAGTAAATTTTTAGTCATATTATATAATTGAAAAAGTTATTTTTATATTTTAGTTAGTCATTCATTGCATCAAACTCTTTATTTTAACTCAATCCTATTAAAATATTTGTTATTCTTTTTTTTTTTATAATTAAATTGATGACCTATTAACCAAACAATTGTTATGTTTTACAAACAGGGGCGGCTCCAAAGCTTGGTCAGGGGTGTCACCCGAACCCCCTAGCTGAATTTTTTTATTTATTTATTATACAAATATTAGATTTTAGGAAAAAAATTAGTAATTAAACCCACTAAAATACAATTTTGAACCCATAGTTTTAAGTCCTACTCTTTTGAACCCACCAATTTTACACCCATATTAGATATTAGCATGTCTTTTTGCTTAAACAATAGTATCAATATATTGAAATATTTTTGTTTATAATTTTAGAATTTAAATTAATTTGTTGATTTTTTTCTCCATAGGTGATATAATGATTAATGTGAATTTTCGATAAGATATATGGTATTTAAGTTTTTGATTGACACCATTGACAAAAATTCATAGAGTCGCCACTGTTTACAAAAGATAAAACTAAAAAAAAAAAAAAAAATAACGTTGACCGATTGACCGGCGGGTTGACCGATCGGACGTCCAGCCGGACTTCTGGGCAGACATCCCGTTACACCTAAATCGCGTTTACCGATGAACAGTTCCTCGTCTGATGAAGCGAGTTATTGTAGCAAATTTAACAAAAATTTGCTGAGACTGATGGAGGAAGGATTTGATGATTTGTTATTTATATTTTAACTTTTTGTTAATTTAAAGATACTGATACTGATGCTCTAACAGGTCGTTTGGAGAGTTGTTAAAAAAGTCAATTTTTTGGCTTTTTAACTTTTTTTAGTCCGAAAAAAGTTAGTTTTTTTATCCAAAATAATCCAACTTTTTGTTAAAAAAGCAATTAAAAAAGTCAAAAATTAAAAAAATCAGTTTTTTACCAACTTTTCAAAGCACCACTAAGTCTGGTAAATATTTATGGTTAAAAAAGTTTAAAAAAAATAAAACAAAATAAAATAAAATAGGTTATATAAATTAATTAAAAAAAATGTTACATTCAAATTATAATAATTATAATTTTTTTTTCTCATAAAAATTAAAAAAATTCAAAAATAAAAACCAAACGAAACTAAAAAAGTCCTAATACAAAAAAAATTGATTAACGTAACCAATACCAAACGAAGCTTAAATAGAATGTGATTAAATTAGTTATTTAAAAAAAATGTATTAAAAAATTAATAAAATAAAATATTACATTTAAAATATAATTATTTTATTTTTTTACTTACAAAAATTTTAAAAATTAAAATCAATCTAAATAAATTTAAAAAATGTTAAAGATGTCAAATATTTTACTAACATTTCAACCAAATTTCTCACATGAATGTGAAACTCACACCATTATGTAAGTTTCACACCCAGATAAAACATTTAACAAAAATATTAATAAAATATTTGAGATTCCTAACCTTACTTAATAAATTTTTGAGAAAAACATTATAGGTTTCAAATTTTCTATAAATAAATAATCAAATGTCTCATATGGATATGAGGTCCACAAATTACAAACCCCACCATATGAAATATTTAATCATTTATTTAATAAAAATTTTAATATCCTTAACCTTACTTAATTATTAACCAAGTTAAAAAAAAAAATTAACCTAAAAAAGTCAACTACAAAAACTTTTGCCAATGCCTGTTAATGAATTGGAACCCACCCTCTTTCAAAATAAAAATGCTAGAGACATAAAAATTTTAGTGTAAATTATAAATATATCTTTTGAAATTTATTTAAAATACAGATTATTCTTTTATAATTTGAAAAATTATAAATACTCTTTTATTGAAATTTTTTATTTAACAAAATTAATTAAAAAAATAAAATTCATAATTGTTATCCTATATAATAATAAAATTACCTAAATTATTAATTGAAATATATTTTTAATATCATTGAAAGTAATTAATTGAGTTGATGATTTATTAACAAAACGGACGATTTGTCATGAAATTAGAAACCTTAAAGGGTAAAATATAATTTCAAAATCACATGAGACGATTCATATTTTAATCAAATTTCAAATAGTATATTTATAATTTACCTAAAATTTTACTAAGGCCTCGTTTGGCAAACAGCTATTTTAGCCTAAAAGTTAAAAAATTATTAAAAAAATTAAAAAGTATATAACTTATATTAAAAAGTTAAAAATTCTATTTTCTCTCTACTTTTTGCACATCTTTTCGTAAAAAGTTAAAAAGTCATTCTTTGGTTTGCATTTGAGAGATGAGTTTTAGGAAAAAATTTCTACAAAATTGTTTGATTTGAGTTTTTCTCAAAAAATTTCAAAAACACTTTCTCTCTCTTACACATCAATCAATTATTTTTTCTCTTTCCTCTCTCTTTCTCAATCACTTTTTCTCTTACACATATCTACTCAAATTCTCCCAAAATATCAAATTATCACAAACTCCAAAAAAAATAACTCTCCCAAAATATACAACCAAACAAACCAAAAAAAATTCTAAACTCTCCCTAAAATTTTTTTCAAAAACAACTCTTTCAAAAACAAACCAATCAAGCCCACTATTTTTTTCACCTCAAATTTTAAATAAAAAATTAAAAAATTAAAAAATTAAAAAATTATTAAAATAACTTGCTCCTTAACCCGCCCTAAATGTGTCATATAGGTAGGTGTGACATTCATACGAGACTTATATGGTATAAATCCCATGTTTATACAAGATATTTAGGGGTAATTTGAAATGATCTAAATAAATGTATTTTTTAATTTTTTATGAAATATAAATTGAATATAAATTAGATTTAAAGTGATATGATAGAGAAAGAAAATGCCTCCGACCCCAGTAGGATGCTGGGGATCGTGCGTATAGGACCCTGATTAGGCAGAAAAAAAAATATATATATATATATATTTTTTATCTCAGCCAATGAGGTCACGCTACGTCATTAATCACTGAAGTTGGACCCCACTGGGATACTGTGAGTTAAATAAAACGACGTGACCTTAACTTTTTTCTTAGATTACAACAAACGGGCTTAATTTTTTGGTCTAACATTTCTCCTTTCAAAATCCCTGAATCTCTCTCTTCAGCCCAAAAACTCATGATCGATCAACAATGGAAGCTCTAATCTGCGAGAAACTCGGCGATCCAACACTACCCCCAAGCTCAACACAAGACTCGCCACTAACCCTCTCAACGTCTCACCCAATCCCCAAACTCAACTCTCCAACTTCAGTCAGAGTTCGAGTCAAAGCCACCAGCTTGAATTTTGCCAATTATCTCCAAATCCTCGGCAAGTACCAAGAAAAACCCCCCTTACCCTTCATCCCAGGCTCCGATTACTCCGGGGTCGTCGAATCCATCGGTCCCAATGTTTCCAAGTTCAGAATCGGCGACCCTGTCTGCTCTTTGGCAGCCCTCGGCTCTTTCGCACAATTCATCGTCGCCGATGAGACTGATTTGTGAGTCATACATACACTTACACATTTGATAAGCATTTAATCTTTGTGTACATTAGGAATTTTACTTGTTCAAGCTTGAATGATTTGAGAGAAATTCAAGTCGGTTTTTTGTGTATGATCTGCTGCTAATCATGTATATAAAACAATGTTAAGAATTGATAGACATGAAACACTAACGGGAATAAAATAAGAATCAAAATCAAGTGTATACAAGAACACAAAAGATTTACGTGATTCATCTCATAATAGGGTAATCCCCTTACTCTTACGGTCGATGTGGTTTTACTATGATCTTAAAAGAATTACAATATAATGTATAGAAATGCAGCACTTCAACTATAAATACATATACTAGAATTTGGGCAATGGGGCAGTATTGTAAAATATACTCTTCTCGGTCGGGTTGTTAGTATTCAGTACTTACACACTACTCAAGAAACAAATGTTGTTTTGAAAACAGAGGCAGAACTATGAATACATAAAAAAATAACACCCAAATAGTACACATTATTATCTGTTTGGGAGGAGAAAGATTGGGTACACATCTAACATTTGGCATAATGCACAAAGTGGTTGCCCCGTGCCTTGAACCCATAACCTCAAGGTTATTAGGCAAAGATTTTATCATTAAACCAATTATCACCCCTAGAACTATGTATATATACATATATCTCTGTGTGTGTGTGTGTGCAGCTTTCAGATAACCCGTAGATACTTGTATATTTCACGCAAAAATCTTACATCCACATTGTACTGGCACCCGCAATGTTATTATCACTGACAGTGGTGATTCAATAAGAAGAATTCCTTTCCAAAAAAAATTTGGTTATTCGATTTTCTTCGGACTGGAAAGTTTCGCCGGTTATTCAATTTCTTTGATACTAATAGTAAGGAGGTAAAGTATGTAGAATATTTAGTGGGTTTGGTGCTAGTTCTTTTGCATGTTTGGTTCTCCTTCGGTGCAATGGTACAGGGTAGCCTTGTTGATCATTTTGAGGTCTCACGTGAAATATTTGCTGTGTAAAAATCAACTATTCAACACTTGTTCACCAACTGAACATGTGGAGTTAGGCTATTGTACACTCTTTTTTCCTGGCTAGCCACCATCCTTTCTGACCATTTTTATTGTTTGTGCATAATGAAAACTAGTCTAGAAATGTGTCCATAGTGCACCGAGGAGATCTAATTGTGCTTCTACATTTGTATATATGAAGATACAATCTTTACATACATATAGGTACTGTCAACATAAAGCTTGTAACTTATTCATCCTCAGTACTATGATTCACATTCTTAGACATATGTTTCTTCTAGGCATGGATTCATTCAGCATTTTGTTATTTTTATGCCATTTTCTTATGTGTTGAGAAAGTAAAGGTATCGAGTACCTGATGGATGTGATCTAGTTGCTGCTGGTGCACTACCTGTTGCATACGGAACATCACATGTAGCCTTGGTTCATAGAGCTCAATTGAGCACTGGTCAGGTATCAATCCCCATTCTTGTTTGTGGCCATGTCATATGCCCTTCTGTGTTATATTATATACCTTTGTCTACATCCATGGGTGATGATGAAATTGTAGGTGTTGCTGGTTCTAGGGGCAGCTGGAGGTGTTGGGATTTCAGCTGTACAAATTGGAAAGATCTGTGGCGCCGTTGTTATTGCCGTTGCCAGGTACTTATGTAAAGCAGAAGTTTTAGTCTCTGTATTATGTGTCGGTGGCATAACTCAAAGGTTTGTGGTGTAATTTAGGCCTGAATGACGGTTTGAATTTCAGGGGAGGAGAAAAGGTGCAGTTTTTGAAGTCAATGGGTGTTGATCATGTTGTTGACTCGAACAAAGGAAACGTCACTGAAAGCGTCAAAGGATTCCTGAAGTCAAGAAAGCTCAAAGGGGTTGATGTATTGTATGACCCAGTTGGAGGCAAACTTGCAAAGGAAACCATGAAGTTATTGAACTGGGGAGCACAAATTCTGGTCATAGGTTTTGCTAGTGGAGATATCCCTGTCATCCCTGCTAATATCGCTCTTGTTAAGGTACTCCTTTTTTGAAGTTTCAAACCATCCAACGTCCTTGTTATTCGGGACTCAAGTTCTAACTGATTTACTTATTTGTTGTTTGAGAAAGAAAAAGGCTAGGCAAAAGAGGAATATATTGAAGGGAAGGATTGGGAATGTGAATGAGTGATTTGGATGGAAGTGATTGTATTGGGGCTAAACTTGCTATCCATTCAAAATTACAAAATCTACAATGTTATAGGTGGTGGCCCTATTGCCCGGGCAATTTAGTGTGAAAAGACAAATTATCCTTCTGAGAGAATATGTGAATCTTGATTTAAACGGAATTTTTGTCAATTCACAAATAATTTGACCATGCTGTGTTGTAAACTGGGGGATCTTGGACTGGGCACCTTGTCAAATGAGGAGTTGAACTCCAACTGCTCATATATTGGCATAATTGTTAAATTCAATGTAAAAGAGAGAAATACAGAGAGAATAATGTATCTATTAATATTTTATTGATTGTGTTGAGCTCTCTTCTTTATAGAGGAGAGGGAGAACAATTACAAACCGAAAGTAGAAACACAAACCAAACAACATCATTAAAGGTATATTATTAAAGGTTTGACAGCTAATATATATACTAATATATACTAACAGCCCCCCTCAAACTCAAGGAGGATAGGCACTAACCAACTTGAGTTTGGAGATAGTAACAAAACAGGAAAATAATCTGACAGATAAAATAAAAAATGGATAGGAGACACTGTATGGTCGTGTCAGACCGTTGTAGAAGACTGTATGGTTATGGCAGACCGATGTAGAAGACACTGGCTCGTGTCGGACCGATGTAGAAGACAGTTTATGGGGTCATGTCGGACCGTTGTAGCAGACAATTTACGGGGTCATGTCGGACCGTTGTAGCAGACAATGCTGTGACATTTGTTGTGACAGTTTACGGAGTCTTGCTGGACCCTTGTAGAAACTAACCGGAATCAATGTCGGGACAGTTTACAGAGTCTTGTCGGACCCTTAAAAAGTCGCACCCTCAAAAGGTGTGCCCAATCTTTCAAAAGGTGTGCCATCAAAAGGCGTGCCCAATCCATAAAAAGGTGTGCCGGACATTATGGCGATGCGCGTGACTACCTTGGCTTGCGCGCCCATGTTGTCGGCTAGCGCCGAGCGGCGCACGATACGTGTGTCTGCCTTGGCTATTTAACCAAGACGGAGACGGAGGCTGAGGCTGAGGCTGAGGCTAAGGCAAAAAAACTGCTAAAAAACCTCTGAAAAACTCTTCGTGTTCTGAGAGAGATATTCGTTTTCTGAGAGAGATACTCTGTAACACTCTGTTGCCCAGAAAATGGCCTCTTCTTCCCGTAGTCTGCTCACTCTCTTTCCCGACCTCAACGAGTCAACAAGAGAGATAACTGGTGCGGTGGCCCGTGAACCTCAACCAAACACCTCTGATTTTGCTCCGTTGAACTTTCCGATGCGGTCGGTGGAGCAAAAAATGGCGGTGCAAACTGATATTGAGGCCAATCAGTATACTCTGAAGTCATGTGTGGAAACCATGACTGCGGTCACAAACCTGTCGCACCGGCTGCAGAGCAGGACAAATGAGGTGCAACAGTTAAACTCCCAGCTGGCTCTGCTCCAACGCATGTATAAGGATGCGCGAGCAGAGATAAGTGTGCTAAAGGCAGAAAACAAGGAGCTGAAGCGGAAGGCCACCATGATGTTCCGATTTGGAGGTCCACCATATGCTGCAGTGGAGGAGCAGGGCATGATTTTCCAAATGGTTTCAAATATCATAAATCATCAATCAATTCCACAACACAACAATGCATTTGTGTGTGTAAAATTGTGATCGGGGTTGATCCCTGAGATGAATAAAAGATGGTTTGGTGTGCAAAGCTATATGGTATGAATGGAATTTGAAAAAGATTAAAAATAATGTGAAAGAAAAATAAAGAAAGAAATAATAAGAATAAATTTGAAATCAAAATGAAAGATGGGGGAAATAAGGGAAGGGGTTCACGTGGTTGCTTGTATCACCTTTTTTTTTGTGTTTTTTTTTTTGTTTTTGTGGATTAATAATAATAATAATAATAATAATAATAATATATTAAGGAGGAAAGCATGTGCGCTGGTGGGTTGGAAAGTGAAAAAAAAAAAAGAGAGAGAGAGAGTGGGGTACATGATGATGATGATAAAATGAAAAAAAAAATTGGTTGTGTGTAAGGCGGTGGCTTTAGTCAAAAAAGTGAAAACTTTCCAGTGAGATAGCATCTGAGCAAGCTAAGATAAACCCATGTGAGTGGAGTACTTGGAGCTTGTGAAAAAAAAAAAGATCAACTGTGTCAAACCAGACCCAAAAGTCCCACCGGCTCCGACCATGCCAGAAATGACTCCAAGAGATCGGCGAGAAATGAAGGGGATGATGCCGAAGGTGGCTCCGCAGGCGGCCTGAGCGCCGGCGGAGAAGAGGATCATCATGGAGAGGGCGATCTTCGCACAAACAAACACAGAGAGAGAAAGGGTGCGAGATGAAGACGATTTTGTCGTCGGAGACCATGGACATCCCAGATGAAGCTACGGTTCTCGATTTTGATGAGCTACGAGACTCCCGAAGAAATGAAGCTACGGTTCTCGATTTTCTCGGAGAACTTGAAGCTCATCAAATCGCACAACAAAAGAAACTTTCTACACTCTTGGTGTCAATCACTTTTCCGATTGGACCTGGGAAGAGTTCCGCAAACATAGGTTGGGAGCTGCTCAAAACTGTTCTGCCACCACAAGGGGAAATCACAAGCTCACTGATGAAGTTCTTCCCAATTCGAAAGACTGGAGAGTGACAGGAATAGTCAGCCCAGTCAAAGATCAAGGCCACTGCGGATCATGCTGGACTTTCAGCACCACAGGGGCTCTGGAGGTAGCTTACAACCAGGCATTTGGAAGGGCGATCTCTCTCTCAGAACAGCAGCTTGTGTATTGTGCAGGAGCTTTTAATAACTTTGGCTGCAATGGTGGGTTGCCATCCCAAGACTATGAGTATATCAAATACAATGGGGGTCTTGACCACTAGACTGAGGCATTTGCAGCTGACCAAGTTGTTGGAGTGATGCCTGTGAAGGCTGCGTTTGCGAGTAAGACGATGGAGTCTGAGAGTGTACCTGCAGGGAAGATGGCAAGTCTTGTGGCGATTGAAGTGGTTTCTGTAGCGGTGATATTTGCTGCTGCCCAATTGACGGGACTTGTGCCAAGGACTGGTTAAAATTCTGCTGTGATGCAGATGCAAGTCCAGGAAAGACACCATCTGAAGGAGCAGATATTGGGATACATGTGTTTGAGGTTCAAGGCTGAGAGCTTGAACTAGCAGCAACAACAAGAAGATCAAGATCAAGAAGAATAATTTGTGGCAGCAGAGTGAAGATATGTGTAGAGGTCCAGCGGGCGGCCAAGGTGAGGTTGCCGCCCGCCGGTGAAGCAGAATTACTAGGTTCTTAGGTCCGGCGGGCGGCCAAGGCGAGGCTGCCGCCCGCCAGTGAAGCAGAATTACTAGCTTCTTAACCTAGCTCTGATACCATGTTAAATTCAATGTAAAAGAGAGAAATATAGAGAGAATAATATATCTATTGATGTTTTATTGATTGTGTTGAGCTCTCTCCTTTATAGAGGAGAGGGAGAACAATTACAAACCGAAAGTAGAAACACAAACCAAACAACATCATTAAAGGTATATTATTAAAGGGTTGACAGCTAATATATATACTAATATATACTAACAATAATCATAGCTGCTAATAGTGCTAATAAGACACATTCTGCGTGTGTGCGCGCGTGTCTGAATGTGTGTGCATAGCTCATTCATTCATTTATTTATATTATTATCATTAGTTTTTGTTGTGGACATTAAGAGTGTAGCATGGTTAAGAGATCCCATAGAGATATACTTTTCCGCATGTTTTGTGTTGATATCATGCATTTACAGAAAAAGTTGGTAGGTATGTGTGTTTATGATGATTGATGACCATGTTTGTTAACTAGTATTTTAGGAAAATCAAACCAAATGGTTAAACCAATGAAGAAGCTAATCCTGTTTGCAGGTCTGCCTTGGAAGTTCAAACACGTGGGCTGTGAATTGAAAAAGAATACAATAAAATGATAAAATGAAAATGAAAGGTTGTGGACCACACACTTCCATTTCTTGGCAATATTTCGAGTAACTTTTTTTGGCTCTATAGCATTGCTCAATTAAAGTACTATTGTAATGATATTGTCTAAATGAAATAATGATGAAGGCTTCCTTTGTAACTTAATAAGTTGTAATGTAACATGATGAAATAGTATTTGGTAACGTCCAGCACTTTGTACAAACATCACTTTTCAAATTGATGGTTGAACTTGAACCTAATAGAGACCAGTTCTGAGACTTTAATTCAACTGGAAAATCTAGTCTGGTCTTTGTATTTTATATCTTATCAATTCAATGAATAACATGTGCGTGTCGGATTGTTTTTAAGCTCTAATTACTTTTGATGCGTGTTATGCAGAACTGGACAATTCATGGACTGTTCTGGGGAAGCTATAAAATACATCGACCAGCTGTACTGGAAGATTCTCTGAAGGAGCTACTATCCTGGCTGGCGAGCGGCTTAATCACCATCAACATTTCTCATATTCACAGCCTCTCAGAGGTCAGCAGCTCCATCTTTTGCTTTCTCCTTTAATTGAAGAAAACTTCTTGTCAAATGGGATTTATAAGCACTATTTACTCTTCCCTAAATTACTCACACTGACATGACAGTTCATGAGTTCAAATATGCTACCCAAAAAGCTAATGGATCTTTAGGGACCAGGCAAATCCAAAGCTTGACTTGCACCTCCACTTGACACTTCTACCCGAGAGTCCCAAGTGGTGAAGCTTATATTAGGCTTTGAAATCTCGAAAAAGGAATTATCAACTCTTCCCTCCACCACCCACCACCAGTGAGAAAAAAATCTATTGCATTTGTTGACGTAATCAAATGACTTTTTGATTGGCATGGATCATTTGGCTCTTGTTCATCTTTGAAATGACCTTGCTTTTTCTTCCATTATCAGTTGCTTAATTATTCATCTCGTCACTGGTATCAATCAAGTCCACCTGTGTCATGCTTAGTGTTTTTATCTTCTACACAATCAGTTCAAAACCGGATAAGGGAGGGTTGGGGTAGGTTGGCATCCAACATAAAATGTAGTCACACCTTCATGACCATTAATCTTAAGAATTCTTTGGTCGAGTCACTGGCATCGGTTATCCAATTCATTATCCCAAATGGATTCTTGTGTTTTCACCGATAACAGTGGCCTTCTGCTATCTGTCGTCTTTTTTTTTTTTTTTAACAGTGAAGGAAAAAAAAAAAAAAAATTTATTGATGAAAAACATCGTCCAGGATGAGAATATTAATAAAGAGGGTGAGTGTGAAGAGCAACATAGCAAAACTAAACAATCCCAACTAGGTTGGTACCAAAGAGTTAGCACATCATATGCTAGCATAACACCTAAAAGTTGGCGAGAAGACAACAAGCGAACAACTTTAAAGAAAACCAAAAGCAAGAGTGCAACAGTCCAAACCGCTTCATACTAACAACATTAGATTAAACCAGTTCAGGTATCCTCTTCAGCACAGATTCGGATCTGGTTAGGCCCGCTACTTCTTAAGTTCAAGCTGCTTGGACCCTTTCTTCTCTACCGCCTTATCTATTGCTTTTCAGCTGGATAGTATTAATGGTACTCCCTGATCCCTTCTGTTTCCAAGTCATCCCGAGTTGACAGTAAGTCATGTGACATTAGTTACTCTATTTAGTACAAGTTAAATTGCGACCTCTTCAGTGTAATGATAGTTCCCAATCTTTCCACTGGATGCCATCCTTGTGAACACTAGAAAAATTCTTTTCCACACGAACGTCCATGTTCTCAACGACCCCCCACCCGCCCCACCTAAAAAAATAATAATTATAAGACCAAAAATCCTTGTGCTAGTAATTCTCAATTTGTGTAACAAATTTAACATAACAGATTTTCCCATTTCTCTGGCTAAGAAGCATCGTACTTGCATGTTTGATTATATGTAGAACTTCAATGCATATAGAATATGACACAAACGAATCACCTAACCTCACAGCAACCAACCCATGCAACAGTCCATTGGTTCAAAATCCTTAGTTTACTTTGGAAAGAAAAATAGCCTTTGCAGTCTCCCATTTTTTTCCCTTTTGGGTCCCATATTCTCCGGCGCTCATAACTTCCATCTCCAAACCCTAGGTGAAGGAGGAATTTGATCCTAGGCACCAGACCAAAAGACTTTACTAGCTAAGCTAGCCGGTGCCTTTTAATTCTAATGGTTACTAAGTTTTGGTAAATTGCTGAATTTTTTTGTGCCATGGCTAGCTTTTTCTCCCTCAAATGTTGAAGGTACTTTGTGGCCTGCCTAAGTGCAACTCTGCTAGTCTTAGACTCTCGGAGTTTGGATCATGGATTTTTGTAAGAATTTGGAAAGGAAAAGAGAAAAGATAGGTGAAATGTAGATATATTCCACATTTCATTCACATTTATCATTTTCCTTTCCAAATCCCTATCCAATCTATCTTTCTTGTTAGGACACTCTGACACCCCATACAGACTTGTTTGTACTTTGATTATCCATTGTCAAGGTATCACAAGTTTTCGATCCTTGAAAATGTTAGTGACAAGGAAATTCGTGTACCTTGTGTTTGATGGTTGCTTTTATTTTCCTGTTGCAATCTCAATATCTCTGATCTGATCGATGTAACCGTTTGTTCTTGACAGGCCAACCTTGCATTTTCTGCTTTGAAGGACAGGAAAGTGATCGGGAAAGTGATGATTGCTTTTGATGACGGCAAAATTGCAAGATCTAAGCTTTAATCTGGTCAGAATTTGGAATCGAGTCAAGGGGTTAAATATTTGAATGTTGGAATTCTCCATTCTCATTCTCAATAAATGCTGTGGTAAATTTTATGACTCTGCTGGATCAAAACAAGACGTAGGGGAAGATCCAATGAATAATGTTTGCCCAGAAAGAAAAATCACAGGAACCTAAGGCTAGTCCTTAATCCAATTACCGTCTTGATGATCAGATAATGCTCAATTCTACTGACCCTGATCATCTTCATCTGGGAAATGTTTTTAAGAAATTTTATTTTATTTTATTTTATTATTTTTTTTTTTTGGAACTTTTTTTTTAAAAAAAATTATTGTGTATTTACTCTTTAAGCCCTAGGCTAAGACCATAAAAATTTTAAAAAATGGACCCATATAAAAAAATAAATAAATAAATAAAACTAAAACAACACAGGAAACCGTACAAAAACACACTGAGCATTTTCGAAATTATTATTATTTATTTATTTATTCATTTTACCACACTAGTATTTCATTTTTTAATTTTTTTTTTGTTAATGACAGTGCTTATTAAACTAACACAACATGGCACTCGCAGCACAACCTAATTCAGCACATATAAGTAGATGTGACAAGTAAGTAGAGCAAAATTGCCATTAAAAAGCAATTTATGATCATTTACAACTTTCTAGGCTCAGAATGTTTCTTAATAAAAGGTAATCACACTTAAAAGATTCATCATACACTTTCTAGGCTTTGCAGAGTTGAGATGATTTCATCATATTTTACTCTTTCTAACAAGTTAGTGACTATAATAATTATTTTAACAAAAAAATTTAAGGTTGATTGTTTTGGAGTATTGGAACGCTTTTTAAATAATTTGTGTGAATAAATAAATAAAAATAAATAGTGGCGTTGAAGTATAGATGAAAAAATATTTAGGTAAAAATAATTAGTGTATATTTCTTTTGGGGGGTATTTTTACGAGCAAAAAATGAGAAGTATTATTAGAGTTGTTAAGAAATCATTCGACAACGCTCTTAATCAAATTGAAACTAATAGGGAATCATGATTAATGATTATATCATACATCTTTTCTATTAATTAGTAAATTCTAAAAATATTTCAAGGACAAGTGTGTAAGAAGCAAGGATAATCCCCTAAGAAGTCTAGCAAACATTTACATGGTAAATCTTCATTCTTTCTTTCTTGAGAAGCGGGTACTGTAACACGATCACAGTGAGATGGTGGCTTCCAGTTCCAAGTCAGAACAATGAAGAGGAGGCAAATACTAAAAATAAATTATTGAGTTAATTGGGTTTAAATACTCATAATAAAATGAAATGCTTTATTTTTATATATTTATATATTTTGGTGAATTAGATGAGTCAATAAATCGACAGGGCTAACTTGGCCAAAATCTTTGGAATTCATCAGGATGTTAAGAGTTCAAATCTTTTCATCTGTGCGTTCATATTGTGAGAGTTTTCTTTACATTAATTATTTATTATTATAATTGAATTATAATTTTAGAGTGAAAAAACTAATACATTTTTCAAAATCTTAACTTAAATGCAATTTCCTCAATAAAGTCTAATTTCGTAAGTTTGGATTGATTTTTTGAATCAGTAGTTCGGTTCCAAATTAGAAATTTAAAAATCCGTAAGTCATAGATCGGTTCCGAATTGAAACCGTTCCGGACTATATACAAATAATTTATATTTATATTATAGACCCTTCCACATAATATGATTTCTTATTTCATATAAAAGTTAAACCAATTTTCTTATTATTTTTGTCTGATGATATGCTTAGTTTTAATACTGAGGAGAACTCTGCTTTGTGTAATGTGTATATCCAGTTTTGTTGCTTTTGTTTATTGCTTTTGTTTGATACTATATTTACGTTTTTATGAAATTAAAATGTTGTATTTTTTTTTGTTAATTAATTATGTGAATCCGTATTCCTAAACCGATCCAATCCATGTTCAAATGGATTGGTTTGGATTGGTTCCACGATTTAAACAAATTGGATTGGTTCCAATTTTTCAGAAATCGTAGATAACGGATTGACCCTGATTTTACTCTAATCCGGACCAATTTGGACCATATTCACCCCTAGAGAGAGATACACTTGGAGGGTAGGATCAGAAAGGGCAATGGGTGTATCGCCTTTTCTCGGAATTGAAATTGGTTCTCACTAGGCCAAGCCATGAATGGAACCAACCTTTTATCTTTCGGGGACCAGAACTTAAATAAAAATGTGAGTAATGTTAAAGATTCACAATTTATCACAATTATATGACAATGAATTGGGCATTATATGGTTGAATTTGTGACCCTCCCCCCAAAAAAAGTAACATGTAATTTGCAATCAAGAGATTAGTCCAAAAGAAAAAAAGAAAAAAAAATTAAGATTAAAAGAAGAGAGAAAATATAAAATATAAGAATAAAAAAAATTACAAAAGACAAAAGAAAGAGAAGAGCACATGAATTGCTTTAAAATAAAAAAACAGAATAAAGAAGAGTTGGAGGCCAATACACGTCACATAGGAAATAGCAATAAATAAATAAAAAATACACAGGTAGTCAAGCCAAAAGCAAGGGGGCCATGGCCCCTTATAGTCTCCACATAAGTCCGTCCCTAGGCCACACAATTGACTAATGGGTGTAGTTTCGACCCCTCATTTTGATAATTCAATATATAAAAGAACTTAGGTTGATACAAAACGATAGTCAATAGAAAATATTTGAGCAAATTATCTGGAAGTCTTATTTAAAAGAGAAGTTTATTTAATCTCACAACCTTTAGGATAGTTACTAACGACCGATGATTACCATTGATTGGGGTTTACCAGCGATCATCGACTTCTTTCTTCACCATTACCACCAGCGAGGGAGACGAGTTTTTGACGAAGAAGATGGTTGATCTACTTTATTTTTATTTTGAAAACCCTATTTTGAGCACTGCCGTCTCCTTCTCACTCACTCAAATCTCTCACTCACTCTTTGCTCTCTCTCTCTCATTCAAATCTCTTTCGATTCTACTTCGATTCTTCTTCAGTTCGGTGATTCATCTCGGGATTGCGATTTTGAAGTTCGATTTTGAGCATAGATCGGTGATTCATCTCTGTGGATTTGGAGCTCTTAGTCTTCTTCGATCAGAGGTTAGTTGCTCTCTCTTTCTCTCACTCAAATCTCTCTCGATTCTTCTTCAGTTCAGTGATTGTTCTTCGATTCTTCTTCAGTTCAGTGATTGATATAGTGTGTTATCGTAGATTTGGGCACAATGAGATGGATGAGCTGTCTTTCACACAGCCACATATGTACAAGGTTAGCCTTATTATATATTTAGTTTTCTAGACCTTACCGCTCTTGTTAGAATTGGGGTTGTAAGCTTAATTTTTGTTACTTTCGGATTTGTTTCTGGTTATGACACTACATCTATTATTAACATCTATTTGAATTTAGTGAGTAATTTTTTTTATATTTGTGATGTGGAATGGGTGCTGATAGGTCATCCGGAATCACCCCTCAGCACTTGAGATTTATGAAAAAAAACTTTTAGAATCTGGTGAGGTGATGAAGGAAGACATATCACCCTTTGAATCTGTGTGATATGTCTGTGCATCCTCTATTATTTTAGCTATTATATCAATTTGTCCTGTAACATATATTACAGATCAGATTCATTCGAGTTGAGAGTGATTGGAAAATGATGCTCTACTCCTTATTCACTTCTTGTTTGTCAAATGAGCTCCAAAAAGTTGAGCCTGTGGTTGGTTGAATAATGGCAAGGTGAGCCTGAAGGAGGTTGGCAACCTCACTTTAGTTCAAATCATTCTTGTTGAAATTTTCTCATTTGACTTATCAGGAGAAGAAACTGATGGACAATATTCGCCAATATCAAGTTCCACTGCAGAAGTACATGGCCATGATGGACCTTGAGGTGCCTCTTTAGTCTACATCAATCCCCAGTTGTGAATTTGAAGCTGATTGGTGCATATGTGTTGTGTGCTTAGATGCTGCTTGGATATGAATTGATTTTGTTTTAATTAGCATCTGGAGGAGCATTTACTCTCATACTTATGCTAATTTTGATATTTCAGTTACCCTTCAATCTTCATTTCCCATATCATTGTAATCTCTCTTGTTCTGTTCTTTTCCCAATAGCTTTTTTTAAACTTTTGTTATACCCCTTTTCAGTGTGTGTTACAAACTGCTTTTTTAAAATTTCTACTTGAAAGAAGGGATTCTTGCTTTAAGATAGTAGAGAAAACCAAAGCATGTAATTCCATTTTGTTTTAGTACATAGATAATTACCTTCCAAATGCATAATAATTTTTTTTGTTCATCAGCCAAATGCATAATTAATTGTAAAAACCAGAAGGTAGAGTATTTACATGACAGTTTTTTCAGTGGTTCCTTGTTCGCATTAGTTATGGTACTAATCTAATACATATTTATCTTCTTCCTAGGTATTAATTGGAATGTGTCTCTGTCTATTAATAGGCAGGCATTTAATTCAGATGGCCTGTTGTGGCAAACGCCTGTTAAAATGCATTTGTAGCTAATAACAAGCTTAATTTTTATCAGGGGACGATCATCAGCGGAGGCGATGAAATAACAGTGTGATGCATTCTCTCAATCAAAACCACACTCGGAGACGAGCTCGAATTATCTATATATGAACTGCCAATTTGGGAAAAGAGTGTGTGTTTGATCAGGTTATCTGTGTTTGATTGAGAGTGTGTGTGTCGAATTATCTGTGTTTGATCAATTGTCAAAATAACAGTGTGTGTCTTGAACCATTTCCTTGCTTAAACCCTTGAATTGTCAAAATAATAGTGTGTTTGATCAATTTTCGAAATAAGAGTGTGTGTTTAATTGGGTTATTGTTGGTTTGGGTTTTGGGTTTTTGATTAGAGAGGTTTGGAAAGAGAGCGTGAGAGTGTGAAGAAGACAATGGCAAAAATGGGTAGTAGAAAGAGGAAGATGTTGATGATATAGAGTGGGTCAGGTCTTTGGGGACGACAATGATTGAAGGGTATTATGGTCAATTTCACTATCAAGTTAATGTTGTTAATGTTCTTTCGATGGAAAATGGGTATCTATATATTAGTTTCAAAAGTAAGGGAGGTCTGTAATTTTTGAAACTGCATGGGAGGTCTTTGTAATTAAGGTAAACCTCAGGAGAGGTCAATGTAATTTACCCTTAAAAAAAATCGGTAACAATTAAAA